TAAACCAAAGTGCCGAATTTTGTAAATTGCCTGGACTCATTTGAAAAGAAGACGAAGGACTTAGTTCTATGAAATATTTGAGTAGTTCATGATTTTTATTTATTTTCTAGAGCAACTAAAACATTTTTCAGTGAAGTATAGAATTTATGTAGCCATTACAAGTGACCAAATCTTAATGGAAATTTAATGTTAATGATCACAATACAAATAAAAATTTGAGCAACTCTATTCTCTCATAAACTTACATAAAGTAGTAAAGGTATATAAATATCATAAAGTGAGCAGATACTTAACCCTTCCTAAAACATTATGATCTGATTATCAAGTTACTGCTAGAATATAACATCATAATTGAGATCTTAGGAGCAAAATCCTCTATACCTCAGTTTACAACCCCACTCCCCCCCCGACCATGTCTTATTTCTAGTGCATTAGAGGGTATAATACTTTGGAATAATTTTTAGATTCTTTTGACTTTGGGTCTCTCATGACCAAGTTTTTCCCTTCCTATTCTTACTGTCACTTTCCAGACTAAGTCATTACCACTATTGCCTATCTGAATCATGGCAGGCATGTCCACACTTGTTTTCACCCTGCTCTGGGCCTGGGTCTATCTCATTTATTGCTACTAGCTCTATATTCTGTCCTTCCTAATGGGTCACTTTATTTAACCCTCTTTTTTGCTTGTCTTGACTGAGTAGAGAGACTGAACTTTCTGGAGAGGCACTCATGACTTTCCATCATCTGACCTCAATCTGCTCTGGGCATTGTGGCCCACAGTGCCCTCACTTCAGGCTTCAAGGACATTTTTCTTATCTTACAGATTAATCTATGTAAGTCTATATAAGACTATACGGAAGTCTTATAGAATGTAGAAAACTCCACCAAAGCTAAGACTTGCCTATAAACTTAGCATTACTTGGTAACTAGTGGGTGCTTTATATGTTAAACAAATGAATAGATAAATGTCCCTGGGGCATGTAGCCAGTAATTACTTAGACCTAAAATTCTCTTCTTTGATTCAGTGCTAGCATATTTTTTTGTGTCCTCAAACCTTCCAAATTTGTCCTTTTTTGTTTCCTTTTTTACTTCTGCCACCTGTTAAACTGTGATTTTCCTGGAAGTCTATTCTCAACTCACTTCTATAAATGCACTCTTACTTTTAGTCAAAGTGCTTTCCATGGATGGCAGCAAGTCTCCTGCAGCACGGAGAGTCCCAATTCTGCTTCTCTTTAAGCTCCATATTTATGTAACCCTAATTCCAAGTGAGTATCTCAAGGGCATTCAAGTTTAGCATCTTCCAATACCAACTTCGCCTTGTTCCATAACCTGACATTTCTTCCCGGTTTGGATGAATGATACTATTATCCACTCTCGCCTGCCCATGTCAAAGTCCCAGGAATCATTCAGGTTCCTTCTTTCCTCAGTGCAACAGGGTATGTTTTTATTGGTGGACTTTTATTTTTAAAGGAAGGAGGTGGGGAGGAATTAGTGTCCTTTTTTCCTAATTTTTTTTTATCTTGAAAGAACCTAAATTTTCCCTTCATTTTCCCCTCTTCTCTTCTTCATTATGTGTTTTCCAAAATGCACCTTTCCTTTTCTTTTTAACAGAAAAACATAATTTATTTTTATTGAGACATAATTCGCCTTTATTGAGACATAATTCGTGCATCTTATGTAATTCACCCATTTAAAGGGTATGATTAAATGTTTTTTTTATAGTCACAGAGTTATGTGACCATCACACCCATCTAATTTGAGAACATTCTATCCTTCAAAAGGAAACCTCTGGCTGTTAGCAACCCCTCCCATTCCCTTCCATCCCAACCGCCTGCCCTAGGCAATCACTAATCTGCTTTTGCCATAGTTTTCCTCATTCTGGACATTTCCTGTAAATGGAATCCTACATGATGTAATCTTTTGACTGCACACTTTATCCTCTTCTTCCTCAGGGAAGGATTACTTTCCAAGCCTGCTTCCTCATGTTCCTTGTACATCTATAAGTCACTTTACTATAGTGGTTGCCTTCAGAGAACAGAATATGTTTTCATTATATTCACACTTTTTCTGAAATTGTCATTCCTCTCAGTGAATACTTGAAGTAGAAGCATGGGGGAGAATGTACTGGTACCTGTTTTATCAGTTTACTTTTTAGGTAATGTGAAATTTGGATGTTCTTTGTCTTCTAATTATGCTAAAGACCTGGGTTTTGTATAGTTCTATTCGTGCATCTTGTTTTCAGAAGAAATATTGGGAAATCCTGATTTACATGGTTGACATTGTCTTGGCAATCCAAAATTCCTACAACTTCCTTTTTAGTTTCCAAATATTTGGAGCACTGATAGTTACAAGTTAAATTTGAATGTTACTATGTAACCAATAAGTCTTATTTTAGTTTCTGACTGTATTAATTCTTTATTTGCTTTTTCCAGATAAAGCCTGTTGCAAGAGGTTGCATTTGAAGGCTGAGTCAATATTATTTTTATGAGACACATTTTGGAAGGACAGTAATTGGTTTAGGAGAACTGTTCTAAGTCATCTTGTAATTAGGAAGTCATCTCCCTATTGTAAAAAATTTATTGTTTAGATTTGATATAATCAACTGTTTCAGAGGAATTTGATATAAGTATTTGTGAAAGTAGAACAAAACATACATAGTCTGGACACAGGAGATAAATGCGACAATATAAAGTGTAGGAACACCAAATATATACTAATATTAAGGAGCAAAGATTTTTCTTATGTATGATTGTTTGGTCTCATAAATTGCATTATACTATAATTAAATGAAGTAAAATTATGGCTCACTTTTCCTCCCCTAAGATATGTATTTATTAACATTGGTTGGTTTTGCTATTTCTGTATTAGAGATTTTCTATATATTACCCTAGATTACAACAAAAAACTGAAAAAAAAAACAACCCTTGGTACTCATAAAATCTAACTTTCTAATTTAAAAACTAAGGAGTCCAAACAAATTTCCTAAATATCACACTATATGTTAGCAATAAAGCTGACTTGAGAACTCTGAATTGGTTAGCTTTTTCTGGGTAACCATGTACCCCCAAACATAGTAGCTTAAAAATATAATTTATTTAGTTCACAATTCTGTGGGTCAGGAGTTTGGACTGGGATCAGCTTAATAGGTTTTCTACTGGTTTTCCCTCATGGGTCACAGTCAGTTGTTTGGTTAACTAACAAGTGAGTTATCTAGGATGACCCTTTCATGTGTTTGGAGGTAGCAGGCTCTTGGCCAGGGCAATAGTGGTAACTGGTCCAATGTGTCTCTCGTCATCAGTAGGCTGGGCTTGTTCAGATGCCTGGCAGTTACAGGGCTTCCAAGAACATCGAGGACAGAAGCTGAAAGACCCCTTGAAGCTTAGTCTTCATTTTGCAGTTTCATGTCCATCCCATCCTACTGGCCAAAGCAAGGGGTGAAGCTGGCCCAGCTTTGAGGGGTAGGAAATAGACTCTACCTCCTGATGGGAGGAACTTCAAAGCACTTGTATCCCTTCTCTTATTTTCACACTCTCAAAACCCGGCTTAGCTAATTTCCAGTCCATGGTCATCTCCGTGCAGAATCCCTAGATGACCAATTAGATAAGACAGCTTCCCTCTTAACAGTAACTAGAAGACAGAAGACAGAAACTTGAGTCCTTATCCAAAAAGCAGTACTTGAAATGAATCTTGAAAAATAGGTTTTTCAGAAATTTATTTATTTATTTATTTTTAAAGATTTTATTTATTATTTGACAGAGAGAGAGAGAGAGAGATCACAAGTAGGCAGAGAAGCAGGCAGAGAGAGAGGGGGAAGCAGGCTCCCTGCTGAGCAGAGAGCCCGATGCGGGGCTCAATCCCAGGACTCTGGGATCGTGACCTGAGCCGATGGCAGAGGCTTAACCCACTGAACCACCCAGTCACCCCTTTAGAAAGAAATTTAAAACTCATGTCTAGGCAGAAAGAAAAATAGGTGGAAAAGGACAGAGCTTCAGAGAAGAAGGCAGGCTTTGGGATAGTGGGTTAGATCATGGAGTGGAGGGTAGGGAAATGTGGTGAATGATAAGGCTGAAGGGGTTTTCTTTACATTCAGAGTTTCTTTACATTCAGAGCAGTGGCTCTGCTATGAAGCTTTTCTCAAAAATATGCTTTCAGTTCACAAGAAGCAGTAAAGTAGAATTTCCATTTTGGAAAAACAACTCCCCTACCCCTGAACAGGAAATCCGGACAAGTACAAGTTCTGTGAATTGAAGGATACTGATGGATAGAAGAGATTCTATGGATTCAGGAGATAAAAATTTCGTTAGCACAGTGAGGGCATGACAGCAGCATGACCTGGAACTGGTGGTCCAAGAAAGAGCACAGGAGTCTGCATAGGTCATGTCATCAGTGAGTCAGAGATACAGGGTACAGTCCCGGAGCTCAGGAAATCAAACATAAATCAGTCAGCCAACCAGATGGTTCTAGCTCATCACTTCCTTCTCAGAAGGAGGACAGGAAGTGAGACATCATGAAGCCCACAGGTGGAAGACATCACTGGGGTCGATGAAAGCAGACAGGAAAAAGCAAAGTCCAATTTGACTACAAAATCCTTTATCTATTTCTGGCGCATTGTTACCGCTGTAACTCAAAAGGAAATAATCTGTGGACTGTATTTGCAGCCGTATAAAAAATGTATGAACTAAAGAACAGCCTTTAAAGAAAAGACTATTTTTATTATTTATTTCTTTAGGTGAGAAAATAGCATAAGCAACGGGAATGCCACTACTAAACATGTCATTTTATATCATTTTGCTTTAAAAAATGAAAACATATCAGCTGATATTCATATGCATCTAGTACTGTCTTTTATTTCCCTAATTCAGAATGTTTCAGTTGATGACACGTTCCAAAGTTACTATTTGTGTTTTGCCTTGTGGTTTTCATTGAACGCCTATTTACAAATTAAATTACCTATTTGATTTTTTCTTTCTTTTTTTTTTTTTTTTGCTTGTTTGTTTCAGAGGATGTCATAACGTCCTTCACAGTGTCCATTGCAATTGTGCTCGTCATCGCAGGATTTATCTGGGCTCTGTTTGTTTGTTTGTCTCGAAGAAGAGCCAGCGCCCCCATCTCACAGTGGAGCTCCAGTCGGCGATCAAGGTCCTCGTACCACCACGGCCTCAGCAGAACTGGATTTTACCGCCACAGTGGCTGTGAACGACGGAGTAACCTCAGCCTGGCCAGTCTCACCTTCCAGCGACAAGCTTCCCTGGAACAAGCGAATTCCTTTCCAAGAAAATCAAGCTTCCGGGCTTCCACTTTCCATCCCTTTCTGCAAAGTCCCCCACTTCCAGTGGAAACGGACAGTCAGCTGATGACTCTGCCCTCCCGCAGCACGGTTCCCGCCATCAGCCCTTCGCACAGTCTGGGCCGCCCTGATTTCCACTGGTCCAGTCACAGTCTTCGAATGGGCTTTTCCACCCCGCCTCCACCTGCCTATGAGTCAATTATAAAGGCGTTCCCAGATTCCTGAGGACCTGCTGTTGTTTGTTTCTTCCTTTACTTGCCTTTTACTGACACAAAATTACAACCAGGCTGAACGGGATTTTGAGGGCGTGGCCCAAACAGATAATGAGTTGCCAAGCTGAGTTAATGCTCCAGAAGTTGGACGTTACAATGTAAATCATAGTTTCTTTGAATGCGTGTTTTCCTTCCTTGGGACTCACAAAATAGTAATATTTTCCAAAGTTATCTATTTATGTATTTTGTACTCAACGCGGTTATTAAAGACAGTGATTCTTACCTAAGACTCAGCTGTGATACAGAATATATATGTGTGTGTGTGTATACACACACATATATATATATTTTAGACTAAAATAATTAAAACTTCAGATATTTGTGGTTTACAATCCTCATTCACTGCCCGATGTGACTATAAAGGGAAAAAAATCACTGTCACTTTTTAAAAATAAACCTATCCTAAGGAATTCTAATTTTACTGTCTTTAGAATGACATGAATCATCTGATAAACCTGGATTTTTAATGGATTATATGAGCATAAAAATGACAAAACAGAGATTTTAAAGTTCCTTCATGGCACTCATTTTTGAGAGGTGTGGGGACCAAGCAAAGAAAGGGAATCTCTGCGGCTGTTATAGAACACTTGTTTGTTTGTTTGTTTGTTTGTTTGTTAATTTGACAGAGAGAGAGAGAGATCACAAGTAGGCAGAGAGGCAGGCAGAGAGAGAAGCAGGCTCCCTGCTGAGTAGAGAGCCTGATGCGGGGCTCAGTCCCAGGACCCTGAGATCATGACCTGAGCTGAAGGCAGAGGCTTAACCTGCTGAGCCACTCAGGCGCCCCAGAACACTTCAGTTTTGACACTTATTTTCCCCCCAGACTCTTCGTGCCTTTCTTTCCCAAGATTTGCTACCTACATCACTGAGGCAAAATCCATGGGTTTACTGAAAGGTGTTAACTTTTCTTCACTGTTGCAGTTATGTTGTTAGGAAAACAACAGCAAATCCAATTCATTGACCTAAAAACAAACTTCAACACTGAGCTTACATTTTTCCTAAGGGATAAATTGTATTTCTTAGATCTAAATCTAGCAATTGGGAAAGCACTTTACCTAGGGACTTTCTCCTGGAACTTTACAAGCAAACAAATAATGGTCTGTAGGGAGAGAGTCTGTCATGAAATACACGTTATAGCCATGAAGAATTCTCCTTCCTGGATCGACTCATCAGGCATCATCCCTTGTGTGCATTCTTATGAATTTCAACCTCAGATCCTATGAACAGTCTTTGTACAATGATTACACCATGTCATATGGTCCTTGGTGCAGACAGTTACTTAACTAGTCTGCTTCCACAGAAAGCCACCCTCATAAAGAAAGGTACATTCCCAAATATGGGTACCAGAGAGCTTCGGTGGCAAATGCCTGTGGCTACCCCTTTTTACTTAAGGACATGCATTCACTGCAGTATTATTCAAAAGGCCTGTGGTTCATAGCTGATATAGTGACTAGCTAGCTTATTTTGCTGTTCGTTTAGTTCTCTGAACATTGGAATTCCTAGTGAAGAAAAATGTACTCTCATTTTGGTTTCTGTAATGCAGTGCTCACAGATATTGCGTCTATATGTGGCTCAAGAATGTAATAATTTCTACGTAGTGAGAGACTGTGTATAGCATTTTCTTTAATATTTGTATTTAGCATATATTTTCCATTGTTCCTCAAGGACAAGTATTCTTAATGATGCCTATAGATTGATGCTCTCTAATGTAACAGAAAGAAAGAAAGAAAGAAAGAAAGAAAGAGAAAAGTTTACAAGATAACCAATTTGTTCTAAGTTGGTTTTTAACAAATTCAGCAATTGTCATATAGCCATGTAAGATTTCAGGAGAGCATTAACTTAGTAACAAGGCTATCTTTTGCTTGCATGTCATCCTTAATGTTTAATATGAGAAGAAAGCCAAATGTATGGTTTTTGTCTAGAATTTATACTGGGAATAAAAATTGCTTTCTATCTCTCAAATTAGGAAAATGGGAGTATCTTCTGGTGAATTTAACCATCTGGCAGAATTGTTGCCACCCGTCTCCCCAAGTTATGGAACAGTCAAAATGAATATCTTATAAATATTGTGCAATTTATGAAATGTAAAATTAAAACAAAAACTAGGGACTTTTTAAGTTGTATCTGTTTACTTTGAAATGTTTAGTTGATTATGAAATAAAATTAAACTGATGTCAGTTTTGATTAGCAGTTTATTTATTGAGTGACCTGTGAATATCTTATATTTACTTTGGTATTTTAGCCTAATCTAGACCATTCTTTATCTACTCTTGAGACACAAATTTTATTTTATATAAAAATGTGTAACTAAAAACAAGTAACACCATAAATAAATAGAATAAGATGTTTTAATCAATAATGCAGATAGATGATGAGTATGCTTTTGTTGAAAACATTAATTTAGATTGTATATTTTCAAATATAAAATTCAGTATTATCAACCATAGTCACCATGCTGTACACTACATCCCTAGAACTCATTGTTTTATAACTGGAAGTTTGTATCTTTTGACCACCACCCATTTCACCATCCCTTCACTTCTGGCAATCACGAATATGCTCTCTGTATCTATGAGTTTAAATAAACATTTTAAATACAGAGAATATTATAATAAGAGGAATTTAAAATGTTTAGCAAATCCATGAAACAGAAAAGGAACGCTTTTTATGCGCAAAAGGGATGGAATGAATTACAAAGAAAAATATTAATAGCTTTGATTATCTGAAAAATTCTGTAATTATGTATTTATCAAAAGATAAATTTATGTATTTATCAAAAGATAAATTTATCCAAAGTTTAAAAGCAAGAAGGAGGAAGAGGAGGAGGAGGAGGAGGAAAAGAAGAAGGATAAGAAAGAGGAGAAAGATAGACTCATCTTACATATAGCAAACAAATGGTCAATATCTTTAAGTTATGATTAGCTCATACAAATGGATATGGAAAACACTCAGTTCTAAATGGATAAAGGAGTAAAGGAACAAAGAGATTATTCATCAAGAAAATATAGTTGATTAACCAGTATATGGTGAAATAGCCAATATTACTACTAAGAAATTGCTTTTGTATATTTAAACAATATTCTAGCCTTTTGTCTACCATCTTAGCTAATCATTTATAAAAGTGGATCTCCTCGCTATTGACAGATTATCTAAGAAATAAGCGGTCTCACATATTTCTGATGGCAAGGAAGATTGGGAACACTCTTTTAAAAGACAGTCTGGTAAAATGCACCTAAAACCTTGCACTGGACAGGTCATGAAGTCTCATAGTGTCTGCTAGGTACACAGTTTCCTTTGAGAAAGATGGCAGTGGTCTTGTAGGGAGACCAGTCTTGCCATTCTGGACACGTGTGACTCAACCAGAACATCTTGTAGCAGATGGTGAGTAACTGAACAAATTAGATCTTTCCTGCTTTGGGCTGAGAAGGTTGGGATAAACGGAGAGCGTGGGAGAATTGCTAACAGCAACACCTCAAAAAGGAAGGAGATACTAGAATAGCAAAAACCTGGGGCAAACACACAGCAGCAGCCTTTGATAAACTCCTGTTACTTAAAGTTACTTATATGTTTTTTATGATTCCCAAACTTGAAAGATATTAAGGTCTAAACCAGTTCAAGGAGAAATAGACCCTTAGCGTGTCTTTACTGAGATAATTCTGCCTTGGCCTGGCAGGTAGATCACTCTGGACCATGTGTCTTAGAAGACTCCGCACTTTGGTTTGCTCTTCTTGAAATTTTCTAGGTCACATCTAGGACTGGCCACTACCAGCAATGTTATCCTGGATAAGATGCCCTGAGCCTCCATTAGAGCCCATGTGGATCTTGGTCCTTGTTTCTTCTTTTTGGGAGTGTTCGTTGATTCTCTGGCTTATCGTAGGGTTGACCAGATGTCCCAGGAGCCCCTCAACTATTTATATAAAAATGTATAAGTACATAAAAGAAACATGCTCCCTGCTCCTCGGCTTTTATTTATGGGGCTTCAGGGGTCCCTATGGTTGGGTACCAGTTCCAGGAGACAGCCTGGCAACCAGATCACTTCTGCTGAATGGGGCATGTTTCTTTTGTAGAATCTCAAATTGGATAACCTGAATGGTACTAACATGCTAATTTGGGGTAACTCACTCAGAATGAAAAATTTCTATGTGCACCGATGGGATAATAAACTACTATTTAAGTGCTATTTCTACACACATTAAAAATATTTATAGGAAGATCACTATACCTCACATGTGGCCATGAATTTGGTAAAACATTTCACTTTTTATATTTTTCTAATTGGATTTATTAAGCAATTCATGAATGGGGTGGCATTCTATCTAGCAAGTAGAGGGGAGCTCCTGCCAACATTTTAAATCAATTTTTTAAATAGGGTAGGACCCCACAAAAAATATTAACCAGAGCCTCATATACCCTAGATGTATCCCTGTGCTGAGATGATGTAGGGTGACATAAGACATTTGCCTAATCTGATTTGGAAAGTAAACAGTTCAAGCTTTCAGGTGATATATGGCTACCATTTCTGACTCTTGTGGTTCAGACATTATAGTTACTAAAGGGCTTTGAGTCTTGTAACTTTAGAGTGATTCCAAGGGGTAAAGTCAGGCAGGAAAAACAGATCTCTGCCTGTCTTATGGTCTAGGTAAAATAGAAAGGAGCCATTTAAGTTCACTAGCATACATGGTGGCCCTTGCAAGCTATGTTGTGGAAAAACATAGTTCCAAAGTGATTGACCAGGAGGAGAGAGGACTCCAGGGATGCTCTGAATCACGGCAGCCAAAAGTCCCCGCTGCCCGCAGCCTTCAGTTTGAGACTACTAAAAGCTAGCTGCAGAGATAGATCTGTTTACGAATTGTGGGAACTTCGGAATGCTGGAGACTCTATGATTAAAGAGGGTTTTTACTAATAAAAAGTCAGGCTTATAAGTATGCCCTGGCTTAGCTAAAGGCAGGCAGTGGAAAGGTTGAAACTTAAATTGTGTTACTGGCTACGATTAGAATAGGAGGAACTAGGGCTGGCAGCTAGTAAGCAGCAGAAGCCAAATAACAAAATGGTGATGGGAATCC